AGTGTGTGTGTGTGTGTGTGTGTAGAGAAGAGAGAGAGAGAGAGAGAGAGAGAGAGGGTGGGGGGGAACGTACCATTTGGATCTGGACGTCAGGTTTGTGCATTTGATGGTACATCCATTAGCGTAGCATCATGGAGGAGACGACAAGACAAAGACAAAATCAGTGACAGCATTTGGACAAGCACAAATCTAATAGAAACATGCAAAAGGATTGGTGGGATTCCGTTGCAGAATCCAAGGCTCTGATTAATATTCAAACATATTATGTGAGAATGTACGAAAAGGTTGGAAGGGAATCTGGTCAAATCCAGAGGAAGTTTTATGAAAGCCATGCAGTTTTTTGTGAGAGGAAGTACAGTGATAGTGATAGAAGTTAAGATTTTTTTAATTATATAAGATTTTTTTTTATTTTATTGAAAAATATATGTTATTCTGTTTAGGAAAATTCTTAATCTTTTATTCTGTTGAGAGAAATCTTTCCTCGTACGAGACGACAGTTTAATGTATTTTTTTTTAAATAAATTTTTTTAAATAATTATTTTTATCTTCTATTATTTTTATCGCATAGCACTTATTAATTTACTGGGCTTTATTAGGGAAAGGTTTAACCCCGTAAAAAGGTGCCGGTGGGGGACGCTGTCGTCGGGTTACGTGCAGCATCGGCCGATGGCACGACGCCACCATTAGCAACAGTGGAAGGACAGATTCGCAACAGGGAGAGAACCAAGAGAAAAGACAGAAAGCAAGGTTGATGCACCATGGGACGACGCACACCACCATTAGCAACAGGAGAGCGGGTCTATTAAGAAAGCAACCGTGAGAGCAAATAGAGGACAAGAGTGAAGAGCTTGTAGCGCAAGCCTAGGTTGAGGATAAGAGAAGAACCACTCCCAGTTATTCCCCTGAGAAGAAGAGAAGACCAGAGAGGAGGAGGAGGAGAGGAAGGTGACGTAACGTACCATTGATCCAGTGTTTCGGGGGTTGGAAGTGATACCCAGTCCTCAACTTACTGTCGACAACGGAAGCAGGAACAGACTGGAGGGATTCATACACCACATGGGAGGCCTCCACCACCACCCCGTTCCTTTCCCTGACGCAGAGGCACCAATGCACAAGAACCACAGCCAACCATGCCGTCCAACAACAGCTATTCGTTCTCCCCATCACTTACCTCGGAAGCCAAACACCAACACCTGATGATGATTCTAAGGGAGCGTTGCAGAAGGAAGAGCCCTTCGGGTGGTATATATAAGCTGGAAGAGGGATGGGAGAAGACCAGACGACACTTGTGCTAACGAAGAATCTCAATTATTGCTGCCAACAATGTCTGATGACTCAATAACTCCAAAAGACACCGTGAGTCCCACATTCTCTGAGCACAACGAGATACCAGAACACGTAGAGATGGGCATCTCCATGCAAGCAAACCTCATGGGTCTCACAGGACGATTGTTCCTCGCTTCAATTGAATGATATAGAATTAAAAATCCTAACTTCAATCACAGAAGAAGTTTATGTGAGAAAATAATACGTATCGTTCGGCTCTATGTAGATGGATACCGAGCTGTAAGTTGGGCGGATGAAAGGAGACAGAGCTGCACCATCGAAGAAAGCACCACACCTCGATCGCCTGCTGCTTCTCAGACGTAAGCAGTGCATTCTCATATTGTACCATACCCCGCCTAACATTTGCTTTCAGCTCATCTTGACCTCATCTCCACCTCGATCGGGAAGCCTTGTGAATTAGATTTTCCATGCGGATCACCTTTTTTAAACGCCATAATG